AAGCACACAAAACTACAAGGCCCAGCAGGCACTGTTCCCTAGAGCACGTGGGTCCGTTCCTCCCAGAAGATGCTACTGCCCATGCCTCTGCCTCTTCCGCTGACTTGCTGTCCAGGAGTGTGTCTCCGAATACATTTAGGAGAATGAAGAAGGAGAGGAAAGAGTTTCAGACAAATTCAAAGAGCAGACCTCATCCAATGGAATGACTCCAGCCCTATTTCTGAGCAATCTAAATCCTGAATCTCTGAGTCAGGGGCCAGATGGTCGGACAGAAAGGAAATCTCTCCCAAGGTTTTCTCCCCTGACCTCTGTTTTCTAAGGAGAAGCTTGAGTTTTTCATGAAATAAAACTATGCGTGTTTTCATGACGTAAAATGAGAGAGAGACAGAGACAGAGCGAGAGTAAATTCACTCCATGTCACTTACTGATAATGGAAATCCCTTACCAATTCTCCCTTTGGGTTGATGTTATGAGTTCCCATCTTTTTTCATAGGCATCATGTGTACTTGAGTAGACAACCGAGAGACGCCCTACCAGAGGCTGTCAGCGAGCTGCCATGTTACACTGGAAATTACACATTTATGATTTAATATGGAGCAGTTGGCCTTCAACTTAGAGGCCCCACCTCTAAAGGTCACAGGATCTTTGTAGCTAAAAGGACTGTAGTCTTTCCCTCACCTACCCCCCCCCCCCCCCCTTTGCAGCCCCTACTCATCCCATTACCAACCTACTGTCTGGGTCTAGACTTCCCAGTGAAGATCATCTGTGTGGAAAGTAATAGCATCCTCCTTACACCACACAGTCTGGTTATGTATTTGACCAGTTCTTTGTTTAGAAGGCCAGTCGGCATCCTGGTAGGAGTCCTGTTTTTCCAGCATGCCAGTTATCTGTGGATTTAGTGGTTCTCCTCATGCACATTTCCTAGTTATGTCACTGTTCTGCTATGTTCGTGGTTGAGTTAAAGGGGAGAACCCTGCACTGATTCCATAGCAGGGACTGGGTCCCAGAATTTGCCCTCCATGTCCCAGATTACTAGTGATCAAAGATCCTAATTTGTCCAAAGACAGACTGAGATCAGATGGACCCAGATAGACTCCTAAGGAAAAAAATAAGGACTTTTTAATACCTCCATTTTCCTCTTTCTTTATCCTTGGGCTTCTCTGATGGGTATCATATTTACACAACGAAGAGGCCGGGGCACCTGGGTGGCTCAGTCAGTTAAGCATCCAACTGTTAGGTTCAGCTCAGGTCATGATCTCATGGTTCATGAGTTGCAGCCCCACATTGGGCTCTTGGCTGACAGTGTGGAGCCTGCTTGGAATTCTCTCTCTCCCTCACTCACTCTCTCTGCCCTTCCCCCACTCATGCTGTCTCTGTCTCTCTCAAAAGAAATAAATAAGCTTTAAAAAAACAAAAACAAAGAAGAGGCATGCTCAGGTTTCCTTAGCTGACATATGTCATCCTGACAAGGACCGCAGATATCATTATCAATCTCTTTGTCCTAATCCCAGGCCCTTCTAGCTTCTTGAGCCTGTCAGCATTCCAATGCCCATCATCCCCTAGGGATGTGGGAATTTACAACTGCTTACCCCACACCACACCAGAACGTATGAGTCTTGTGAGGTGGCCCTTGGCCTCAACCAATATGACCTTCCCTCTGCCATTGCTAATGCAGGTACCCATAGTCTGATACCACTCTGGGTGTGAAGCTTCTCTAAAAGGCTTGCAGGGCTCCTGAGCTACACCCTGAGTGGGTTAGGACACTCTTCAAATGGATTTCCAGAAATTATTCTGGAGACTTCCATTGCCCTGCCCCTGGATTTGATAGCCAGTGAGGCGGGACGCATGGGAGTGCCTCTTCACTCCTTCAGCCAGAGTTCTGGCTCCTCCTTGTGTGGCACCCTCAGCCACATCCCCCACCCCCCACTCCCGCTTTAGGGTTGATTTTAGAAACTCAGTGGCTCGTAGCCTTCCCATCTAAGCCTTTTTGGAATTCCAAACAAAGCAAAAACAGTAACAAGTGTCTCAAGCACACAGCCCTGGCAAATCAAAAGCACTTTACTTTTAGGCAATTGTGTCAGCTATAAATTCATTCATAAATGTGATGAGCTCCCCTGAAGCAAGGAACACTATTGGGAGCAGATTCATAGGATAAATAGAAGCCACTAGGGAGGGTTATAGGAATGAAAAATGTATCTGTTAAAATTTCAAAAATATGACCTCACTTAAAGAATTTTTTGACACCAAGGTAGTTTCTATAGACATTTTAAAAACGTCTCCTTCAGATCATGCGCTGCAACATGATGGTATTCACCTGACCCTGAGCACAAAAGGAGCTGTTATTAGCTTCTGAGGCTTGTAAAATACACACAAGTAGCTCAGGGTTAAGAGCAATGGCTGGAGTGTCTTACAAAAGCCCAAGTGATAGGACATTGTCTGTGAATCGGTGCTGCACGTTCTGCCGCCCTTTGTTGGCCTGGCCTGTGACAGCCAGGTGGCCCATGACAGTGCCTCTCTGAAGCTAGATCAAATACACCAGAATGAACTGTTTGGAAAGCAGATGCTTGTTAAGCCATTAGGAGAAGCAGGGATGATCCTAAAGAGGCAGAGAAGAGGGGAAAGCAACTTTCTACAAAAATATCACAGGACAATAAAGAGGAGAGGTGCCCATCACAGAGTCACCATGGACCACACAGCTGGCATTTCAGACACCCATCCAAGGAGCCTAGAAATCATGTCTCAGAAAGAACCTGCCCTAATTGGAAGCACTTCTGACAAAATGCCAGAGGAAAGTGCTGTCACTTGTCCCTTTCCAAATCATAAATTACCCTGGTTTCCCAGAAAAGTATGCCCAGACAGACTTATCGCCCCCTTGAAAAAGCCAGAGACCTAAGTCTAAGAATCTTGCTTAAAGGTGTAAAAAAAAAAAAAAAAAAAAAAAATTCTCGAACCATTCAGACTTCCTGAACCTGGGGGTGAAAATTGCCTCGAATGATCAATGATTGCCTACTCTCAGAGGTCAGACCCTCTGAGAGTGAGCTGGCTGAAGCTATTAAAAGAGCCAGCTCTCATTGTGATAAAGCACATCCTGGCAAAGCCACAAAAAAGAAAATTATAGCAATCAATACAGATCAAAATGAAAACCGGATGAAGGTTTCAGCCAAACTTGTCTTCACTTCTGCTGTAATGGATCAACTTTTGGGTGCTGATATCAGCACAATTTGCAGATGGAGGGCATTGAATATGGGAGTCAAAGCTGGGTAGAAATTTAATTGAGACTATAGCAGATCCTTGACATTTACAAGGGTTAACACTGACTCTCACGCTTGCCAACGTCTCACATAATTGAGCTACATGTGGGAAGTCTTTATCCCTTCAAGCAACTTGTATGTACCTCGACTCTGCACAGCCGCCTTTGATATATTTAACAGACAATAGTCCACCAATAATCTAGACCTGTACTGTGTAGGCTTTGAAAGTGTTCACACTGAAGCTTCCTACAAGGAATTCTGCTTTACCATGTTCAATCTTATTGGGACTAATCCTGTGGAATTTTCCAGAGGACAGATAAAGTCCAGGAAATACAGCCTACCCACAGGATTCAGCCAAACAGCAAAATCAGTGTGGCAAAAAGAGTAATCCCCTTCTCTCCCAAAATGTCCATATCCTGATCCCTGGAAACTGTGGATTTGTTACCTTATATGACAAACAGGAATTTACAGGTGTGATTAAACTCAGGCTTTTGAGATGAGAGTATCCTGGGTTGGTCAGGTGAACCCAATTTAATCGAAAGGTTCTTATAAGAAGGAGGCAGGCGGGGCCTGGGTGGCTCAATGGGTTAAGCATCCCACTCTTGTCTTCAGCTCAGGTCATGATCTCATAGTTTGTGAGTTTGAGCCTCACATCGGGCTTTGCACTGGCATCATAGAGCCTGCTTGGAATTCTCTGTCTCTCTCTGTGTCCCTCTCCTGCTCTCTTTCTCTCCCCGTCTTTCAAGGTAACTAAAACTTAAAAAAAAAAAAAAAAAAAGAGAGGGAGGCAGGAAACTGAGTCATAACGGGAGGACAGAGGTCATAGTGATATAATTGCTAGAAGGGGGTCACAGATGAGGAAAGAAAGCAGCTTAGAAGCTGGGAAAGGCAAGGAATGACTTCTACCCTCAAGCTTCCAGAAGAAACACAACCCTGCTAACACTTTGCTTTTACCCCCAGGGAAACCTATTTTGGACTTCAGACCTCTCGAGCTATAAGAAGATACACTTGTGTTGTTTTAAGCCACTCAGTTTGTGGTAATTTTTTACAGCAGCAGTACGAAACTGATAGTCACCAACATTTGTCTGTAACACTCCCCCTCTCTCATTCTCTCTGCCCAACATCCAATGAAACATCTAATTCATTCAACGGTTCTGAAATGACCTTTTTTCTCCCTTTCAGGGATAACTCCCTGACAGTCTCATTCACTCTCACCCACCATGATGTCATAAATATCCCCTCCTCCTCCTCAGAGTATTTGCATTTCCAAACAGGAGCAGGCAAAATAGATTTTCCTATTGGGGAAAAAAAAACAAAAAAACCCAATGTGGAGTAGCTATTGAAGCCAGGCCCCGTAGTGAGTATTTTGTACCTATCCTATTTCCTCTTGCCAACTTCTTTCTGAGGTATCACTCCCCCAAACCATTTTGTGACTGTAGGTATGAAGGTTCAGAGAAGGCAAATACCTTCTGCGAATGTCAGCAACGTTGGGGCCAGATGGAGCCCAGATCTGTATGATTCCCCAAATTCTAGTCCTTCCCATTAGAACATGCTGCTTCTGATTTACACAAAACACTAAAATGCTAACAGCAGAGTATCTGCATCAGTTTGGATGGAATGATGATTTGGGAAGCCCTGCAAAGATAAAGGCTGGGGGGACAATTTGGCGAGGTCCTCTTTGATAGGCTCTCTCAGAGACAAAACCAACCGATGGTGCACCATTCCTAATCCTTTCAAATCTCCTTGTAGGGGTATTTGCCTTCGGACTTTTTGCTACTGACATTTTTGTAAACGCCGGACAAGTGGTCACGGGGCACCTAACACCATACTTCCTGACAGTGTGCAAGCCGAACTACACCAGCACAGACTGCCGAGCACACCACCAGTTCATAAACAATGGCAACATTTGTACCGGGGACATGGAAGTGATAGAAAAGGCTCGGAGATCCTTTCCCTCCAAACACGCTGCTCTGAGCATTTATTCCGCCTTATATGCCACGGTGAGTAGCCCAGCCTTGCCAGCACTCCTAAGATGAGTTGTGGGCTGGGCTGTGTGTCTCTCTCTGCCCTCCTCCCCTTCATTCTTCGGTCACTGTCACTCAGAGTGACTTTTAAAGTCATGTTACAGCATGTGTCTCCTGTACAGCGTCATGCTGTCGCCCCCACCCCCGCACCCCAGGGTCACATACCGAGCTGCCAGAGGATGCTGATTTGGGAATGTGGATAATCTCTTAGTCAAATCTTCCCATTTTACAGATGTAGAAACAGCCCCAGAGAAAGAGGTAAGAACCCCACAGTTAGAGCTGGCCCTAGGCTCCTGGCACCCTGTCGGGGAGTCTCCCACTGCTCACAACAGCACTCTTTGCCAAAGTTTTCATTGGTCCCAGAACAGCATACATTTCTTACACCTGCCTACAAGTTTGCAGGTGTGGGCGTTAATGTGAATGGCTGCCTGGATGGTGCAACGGGACCGGCATAAAAACACAGCCTTCCTCTGCTCCTCCTGACACTCTTCTTCACCACTTAGCCGGAACAGAAGGGTGATCCTACAAGACTCCAACACGCCTAAGTTCCCTGGATACCACTCCCCAAATCCTACAGGCTCTGACTGCCCCAGCTAGGGTATAATGTTCTCTTTACATTGTTTGCTTTCTTCACAGAGAAAACCTAAAGTGTGTCCCACATCTTAAAATACAAGAAGAAAAGATGCTGTCCCTCTTACTTTCCTACTCTTGAACTGCATCCATTTTGGAAATGACGTCATCTCTCCTTTCTCTGGCCTATGCTTCCTTAGAAACAAGAGCACAGAAGTAGAGAGCAACAATTGGTCAAAAACACATCTTTTCCTTACTTGAACTTAATGTATGTTCCAGGTGGGACTAGTCTAGTGATTCTCAATGAAAGGGAAGGAGAAAGTAGAGGAAAGACCCCTTTCAAATAATCCATTCTTCCCAGAGGTTCTGAGCAAGACTCGCCTCACACCCCACTGGAGCGTGTTCCCACCCCCCTCAAGTGAGGGTAACTGCACCCTGATGAAAGTCTGCCTCTGATGGAAGGGTGCTCCTGCCAGCACCCGGAGGCGTACATTCCGGGCGGAAAGAAGGGGACTGACCACACATTTAGTCTGCTGAGTACAGCGTCAAGTAAATTGCTGAATACTCTTTAAAACAATGATTCTTTGGCCCCACATTCACAGGATCACATCAGTAGGATGAATTTGTCAAACACAGATTACCCAAAATTAGTCTTCCTAGTTATTCCTTTTTAAGTCTACTCTTTAATGAATATGAGATAAATTATTATTTATTTCAGCTGCCCCACATTAGGAAACCTGCATCTAGATAATCTAGAAGCCTCAAACAGATCAATTGTAGCTTGGTGAGCCTTGCTTTATGATAGACAGACAGACAGACAGATAGATAGGCAGGCAGAGAGCCCACATATTCTTTAAACAAAGAAAGGCCTCTCGGGCATTTGGCATGTTCTCCAACTTTCAAAATATCCATTTGTTCTAAATTATCTAGAGCCTAAGTTCTATGAAGCGATGTACTCTTGAACCCTTTTCTGCATATTTATCAAGCTCAAAGCACTGCTGTGTGAAATTTGTAGAACATAATTATAAAAATAAATCTGTTACTCATAATAATCTATTGTCTCATCAAATGAGATATACATTTCTTTTGAGAAAAAAGTCTGTTCACTCAGAATAGATGCTGCTATAGCAGATGTTTTCAAGGACTTAGATATAATCCAATTCAAATCATGCCCCACAGACAGACTATAATCAGATAAACCCTGATACAAGACTCCAATGTGTGAAACTTTTTTTAGCCCCTGTTATGTGCGAAGTGCTTTCACAAATTACTCAACAAGGATCTCCTAAGTACTAGTTAATACTGTAGAGAATACTAACCCTAAGTCCATCTCTTAATAGTTTGTAATCTTATAGGAAAGATTGATAAAGGGTGTAATTAAAAAACAACATAAAAAGATAAAACACTGAAGTTAAATATATCTTGTATAGATGTTAAGTAACATTTCCTATACAGCCCCAGAATGGTGTAATGTGCCCTAATTTGTGTAACTGATCAAACCATACTTTCGTAGGTCTATTACATATGATAGAGAATTCCATCTTCTCTATTCACACCACTGTTGAAACATCATTCTACAAAATTAACAGTTTCCGTTGTAATATTGTAAAAGGCATCCATTGAACATGTATGTGCTGAGCCCTTACTAACACACTATAGACTGTAGGTATTAGCATACTGTTTCTCAGAGTTGCAGACTCATTTATCACAATTTTAAAGAAATGATGAGATGGATCAGTAATGCCCTCTAGTGGTTTCTTATAACCATTGCCGCAAGTGATCTAACCACATTTATGTCTTTGAAAGAGGCCATACACATTTGATAACTGAGCCGATGAAACTTTAAGAGTGTTGCCAAGCCCCTCACAGTACATAAGAACAGTCCACATCTTAGGTGTCATAAATTGCATCATCCTTTCCTCAAGTCAGGAAATCCTTTCCCAGCCTTTTGGATGTCGTGGAATCCATAGAAAAGTTCGATATTTTAAAACCGAGTTCAATATTTTAAAACGCTTCTAGAATAGGGGCACCTGGGGCGCCTGAGTGGCTCAGTCCGTTAAGCGTCGGGTTCAGGTCATGATCTCACAATTAGTGGGTTGGAGCCCCGCAACGGGCTCTGTGCTGAACGCTTGCTCAGAGCCTGGTGCCTGCTTCAGATTCTGTGTCTCCTTGTCTCTCTGACCCTCCCTGCTCATGCTCTGTCTCACTCTATCTCTCAAAAAAATGTTTAAAAAAAATTAGAATAGGGGCACCTGGGTGGCTCAGTAGGTTGAGCATCCAACTTCTGCTCAGGTCATGATCTCACGGTGGGTGAGTTCCAGCCTCGCTTAAGACTCACTCGCTGGCAGCGCGGTGCCCACTTCAGATCCTCTGTCCCCCTCCCTCTGCCTCTCCCCACTTGCACTCTCTCTCTCAAAGAAACACTTAAAAAATAAAAAAAACACACACACTAGAGTAAATGAATGAAGAGAGCCAATCACAGATGTTCCAAGGAATGAGAGACTCAGTTTCCCAGCACAACTAAAACCTGTTTGTGTGACATACTCATCCGGAAGTCCTAATGCAGTCAGCCAGCTAACCAGTCAGTGCTTTTAAATTTTTGCCTACAAGTGTGGAGGATCAGCTAGAACTCCGGAAGACACCAAAAGTAAAATGTACTAGCCACTCCCCTACCTGATCTTCTCTTTCATAAAATTTATTCTCCCAAAAGGTTTCTTTGGTATCTGAGATTCTATGTGGGTTTCCTAACACCCCCAAATGATTCTTTAATTTATTGCATAAAACCTGTATGCCCTGACTCTGATCTTTATTACACAGTCACTCTCTGCATGGCTATTTCTGTTTACGGACCCACTAGAACACAAAGCGACATGATTAGGGTATGGCTCTCCGCTGTTCCGGCCGCACTGGTTTCCTACCCAAATTCTTTCCTCCGTGACTTAGCAGAATTGTTCAACTAGTCAGTGTGGCCACTCTGGCACCGCCGCTGTTGCACGTGCTGGTGCATGTATGCGCATGCATGTGTTTGCACCACACGAGGAGGCTGCCTGTCACTTGCTGGTCTCTGTCCTATTCCAGATGTACATCACAAGCACAATCAAGACAAAGAGCAGTCGACTGGCTAAACCAGTGCTGTGCCTCGGGACCCTCTGCACAGCCTTCCTGACAGGCCTCAATCGGGTCTCTGAATATCGGAACCACTGCTCCGACGTGATTGCGGGCTTCATCCTGGGCACTGCGGTAGCCCTCTTTCTGGTAGGTTAGCGTCCCCGCTTTCCACTTTCTCCCCTCTCGTGCCCTCTGAAAGGCTGTCCGGGATCACGGCAAGTCAGGTTAGCCAGACTGCACAGTGTAAGTCCGTGTTCCTCCTGCCCCAGCTTTGTGAGTTGCGATTTTCTCCCAAGTATTATGCATCCTTTTGCTACAAGAATAAAAATGACTTCTGAAGCACCCTTTCGTTCAGAAATCTGACTGCATATTCCCCCCTGTGGTCAGAGAGAAGAATGCCTGTGGAGGACTTCCTTCGACACTGGGCTGGGAACAGGGGTCCAGCAGACTAGGAAGTTAGCATACCTTCAAAGCAGTGTTCTTTATTCTTTAAAGCAATGTTCTTTAAAGATCTGTTCAGAATGTATTGAGAGCAGAAAGTGTTGCTTGAAGGAAGAACAGAAAACAAAGAGCCTGGGCAGAAGCAGACAGCCCCTTCTCCAGCACCCTCAGAAACTCCGCTCTGGCCCAGACTTGCATATCTCACTCACTGCATGAAAACATTTCTCTAGCCACACCCAGACTTTTTAGAAGGCATCTGCTATCACCTACAGATGGCTCTTGGGCAGCTACTTTCCAGTAGAAGTGGCTTCTCAACCACATTTAATAATCTTTCTGGAGAAGAGTTTTGGCTAATATAATTTTCTCCATATCTTTACTTTTCTGATGATTTTAGTTCCTCAAATAAATGTGGGCCTCACCACCTGCTCAACTAGGAAACTTCTTAATCTCAGTTGGATTGTGTTATGCCCAGATCGCGATCTCCCCAAAATCCCAAGACCACCAAGGAGTCGGAGTCACGTATGCAAAAGCAAAGGGCTTTATTACGGGCTTAAGCTCGGGCTCCCAGACCTCACCAATGCAATGGATCCATGCTGAGAGCCCGGAACAAGGGCAGAGTAGGGTTTTTATGGGGTTTGTGATGGGGGAGTTACAGAAGTTGTGACATGGGAACAGTGATCCATTCATAATTATACAACATCATTGACAGAGGGTTTGACCATACACATTGTCTAGAGTATTCGTTACTTTTGGCGGGATCCAATTACAATGTTTAGAGTACCTTTAAATTTAACCAATCACAGGGGCGCCTGGTGGCTTAGTTGGTTGAGCGTCCGACTTTCGCTCAGGTCATGATCTCGTGGTTCGTGGGTTCGAGCCCCGCTTGGGGCTCTGTGCTGACTGCCAGCTCAGAGCCTGGAGCCTGTTTCAGTCTGTGACTCCCTCTCTCTCTGACCCTCCCCTGCTCACGCTGTCTCTCTCTCTCTCTCCTAGAAATAAATAAAACATTTAAAAAAAATTTTTTTTTTAAATTTAACCAATCACAGAGTGAGCCTAGGGTCTTACTCGGCTTTAACATTAGGTAACAGGGTCCTATCTATAGTTTCTATCTCCAGACCTCTCCCTTAACAATGTGGAGGGGTGGTCGCTGGCCTTTCCTAACCCTTGGTTACTCCTGCCTTGGGCAATGTGTAACTACCTGATAGTTTTGGGGAAGCTGAAACCCAGGCCTTCTAGTTTAGAGGGGAAACTTAAAGCCTGTCATGGAGTCAGTTTGGTTTAGACGTTTAGACTTGTGGCCTTACAACTGGAAGAAGAGGAGGTTAATTTTTATTGTTTTTGTCTTTTTTTTTTTTTACAGTTTTGTTGAACTATAATAGGCAGATAATAGATGCCACATGAAATGTACAATTTGATAAATTTTGACATACAGATATGTCCTTCTCTCCCTCATCCATTCCCCTCATTCCCAAGCAACCACTAATCTCTCCAACACTCTATATTAGTTTGCCTATATGGAACTATATAGTATAAACTCATTTTTGGCCATCTTTCACCTGGCATGATTATTTTGAGATCCATCCATTGTAGCAAGTATCAATAATTCATTTCTCTTTCTTGCTGTGTAGTATTTTATCACAGGGACACACCACAGAGGTACAATTTTTAAATACTCTTCAGGGATTTAAAACATACCTGGAAGTAAATCACTGGGCCTGGAGAGTCCTATGTTGTGCATGAAATTAATCCCCTAGTAAAATTCATCAACTTTCCCCTAAAAGACAATAGCCATCACAGTCTGAATGTCCCTCCTCCCAATTTGCCTATCCCCATCCAAAGCACCCAAAGAGACTGGCATTATACATAGACGATTCTTCCTTGCACTGACCCTCCTCCTTGCTCTTCCCAACATACTAAATACACCTATGCCTCTCCTAACTTCTAACTCAAGAGTTTTTCTAACACTTCTACCTGCTGACATACAGGAAATGCTCCCATTTGTTCAAAACACTGATCTCCCAATGGAGATGGGAAAGCTTCATTTTAATTCAAAATTATCTTAAATGAACCCAGGCTTTCTTTCTAAAGTAAAAGATGGAGGACTTCAATGCAAATTGACTGGGTGAAGCTTCAGGAAAAGCAGTGCTGAATGATCCTGAGCTGTTGATCTCTCATAGGAGATATTTTCCCATGATTGCTTACTAAAAGAGTTTGGGAAGAGTATGGGTGGCTTCAAGAGAAGAGGGGGTTTTCAAACATAGATCGATAGTTCATCAGTGAAGGCTTAGGCTCAAAAGCCAAACAATTTTGCTCTCCATCAGTCACGAGCCCAATATTCCCAGCTAGAGAGAAAGAATAGTACATACTGTCCCGAGCTATTTCATGAGGTCTTTATGGGATGAAATCTGTGAAATCCCTTGCATTTTCTAAGGCCACGTGTACAAACTCTGCCTTAGTATTAAACTTCCTTTCTCTCACTAACGTGCAGCCCTGTTTCCTACTGCTTAGGGACCGTTTGCTCTGTTATTGCCTTCCCAGTTGATGGCAAATGTCAGATTTTGTTTTCCACAAATGATCTTTATGTAAGACCCAGAATTCCTACTGAATGGCCCCTACAGAGACAGACCCCATGCTCTCCCTGTTATCTGCTTGTGCACATGTACACACCTCACATGCACACACACTGAGCTTGGAAATGGGAGGGGAAAGATGTCTTTGAAGAGACTGGAAGCCTTCCAAAGTGGAGACTTAGAGAGGAAGACAGGAAGAGAAGAGTCTGAGACCAGGAACATACTTAGAGCACACATGCATTATTGTTTTGTGTTTCCTGTAAAGATTTTTTTTTAAATTGTGGCTATATTGCACGAAAGAGCCCTAATCATCTAGAGACCCATACCAAAATATGTGGATGATTATTTGGGCAATTACTATGTGTCCTAGTCTTTATATACACCAAATCATATGCTCCTAGGAGAAGCCTAACAATATTCTTATCCTCATTTTACAGATGAAGAAAATGGGGCTCAAAGATAAATAACTTGCCCAATGGCCACCCAACCAATAAGCCATAAATCTGACTTTCCAATTCCAGAGCTCCCACACCTCCTAGTTCCCCCATTTCCTGAATCTAGGGGATTTAAGCAGAGCTGGAGAGTGAGATGGAATAAAGCAACGTAGAGACTATTTATACAAATGTTCTACAGGGTTTGAAGAGTGACAAGAAAGATTCAAAGATACTGAATATAGAAAAGACAGATAAACTCTACCAGGGCAAAAGAAACAGAGAAGATGGTAAAAACAGACTAGTTATGAAGGGGGCCTCAGTAAGAAAGAAAAGTAAGTAGTCATTTAGAGGGAAAGTATTTTAATGGAAGCAATAAAGGAAAATGCCACTATTTTGAGTAGTTTAATCTCAAGCAAATAGTAGTCACCTAATTTAAGGAGGACCATCTTAGGCAGGAGTGAAACATTAGCCAACAGGGATCGTTTGCTTTATATTTGGCACTTGTTAAAAGGCAAAAGAGTATAGCAGTATGATTAAGAGACTGTGGAGTTGAAATCTTTGTGTGACTTTGGACAAGTTATCTAACTTCTCTGTTGCTTCTTATCTAAGTTGAATATGATAATAGTCCCTTCCTTGTAAGAATGCTGAGTGGGTTAAATGAAGGAAGGTGAAGTCCTCAAGACAATGCCAGACACAGAGTGGCCCTCAACAAACTAGCTGTTATTATGAGATGGTTTACATTCATCGTGTCTTTTCATCATTACAAATCTGTGAGATAGGTGTTATTATTTCCGTTTCACAATTGAGGAAACAGGCTCAATGGGGTGATTATCACAGATGCTTCGTCAGCCCTGGAACATGTCCAGCAGACACCCTAAACTATGCCCAAGGTCTTTGCATGGCCCCTATGACCCACTGGCTCAAAAGAAAAAAGTCACTATGGCAATGATACTCTAGGGAAGGAAAGGCCCTCCCTCCTCAGCGACGACTTGGCTGTAGCCTGACTCCAGTCTTCTTTCCCCTCATCCTGCAGGGAATGTGTGTGGTCCATAACTTTAAAGGAACGCAAGGATCTCCTTCTAAACCCAAGCCCGAGGATCCCCGTGGAGTGCCCCTAATGGCTTTCCCAAGGATAGAAAGCCCTCTGGAAACCTTGAGTGCACAGGTACAGTAAAGCGGTCTTAGCAAACCAAACCCACAGGCTCAGGGTCTGTTAAATTGGGAGGTGAACCAATCCATTCCTCTGCTGAAAGCAGGATACCACCGAATCCACTCAACAAGAATAAAAATCTGATGTAAAGGCTTCAAGAACTTCAACCTTCTCTCAATTAGTCCTGTATTTATTCTGGGGCTGGGCAATCATGAATCCTCAGGAAGTTCTTCGTAATGCCTAACTTAAACCCCAGCTGTTTTAAGACACCGTGACCTACTAGGTAATACCACATTTATGAAATTTGGGCCAGTTATGTGGGAGGCCAATCTGATTTAGTGACTAGGACAATATTTAGAAAGAGAAAGGTTTTGTTACATTCAGTGACAGATGTAAGCTGGAAGCACATTAAAAAGGTTACTAAGTGTCCTTTTGGATCTATTTTGATGACTACGCTCAAAAATGTTAATGCAACCATACTCACTGGTCACTTATCTACATCAGGGCCTTCGTTCATGTCAGAGATACAGAAAATAATTAGCTGCATAGTCTTTGTCCTTAAAGAACTCACAGATAATCAGGAAGGTGGATATAAATGAGTAATCATAATATGACATGCAGAATCAGAGGTCCCCAAGGTGCTTTGTGAATCCAAATGAAGAAGTGTATTCTGTCCGAGAAGATAGAAAAAGCCATGGAGAAGATTTGCCGAGTGAAAGCGGCCTCGAGAGACAGTATCAAGCACTTATTTTTGCCTGGGACAGTTGCTAGGTGCTCTACAAATACATTCTTATTTGAACAAAAACCTATTGAATGGATAGAAGTCCCACTTCACAGATTAAAAATAGGAATATGGGGGTACCTGGGTGGCTCAGTGATTTAAACATCTGACTTCAGCTCAGGTCATGATCTCACAGTTGGTGAGTTTGAGCCCCACTAGAGATCTATGCTGACAGCTTAGAGCCTGGAGCCCGCTTCAGATTCTGTGCCTCTCTCTCTCTCTCTGCGCCTCCCCTGCTCGCACTCTGTCTCTCTACCCTTCAAAAATAAATAAACATTTTTTAAAATTTTTAATAGAAATATGAAAATAGCAATGTTCAGCGAACTTGCCTGAGGCCATATAGCAAGCAAGAGACCTGAGATGAGCGGCTCTTTAAGCAGACAGAAAAGGGGAAAAACAATAACAAATCAGGATTCCACTGTCAGGCCAGGCTGAGTCCTGCTATATGTTGTCCTGTAATAACCCATTCATCTTGAAATCGTGTTTTTGTTTATATCCTTATAAAAACATTTTCATAGGTAGTGCAAGGGAAAAGCAAATCACCTCCCACTGGAATTATCAATATAGTATCAAATAATATTTTAAATAATAATTTAAAGATTATTGACTATTAGGTGTCTCTCTGAGATGAACTCTCCTATTTCTTTTTCACATTTATTGAAGTCTTTCTAATATTATTAGCAAGAAAAACAAAACACTAAAGCTGTTTCGATCTTGGGAAAACTAGGGCTCTCCATCAAACCCAGAGCCATGTGTTTTGTTTGTTTTTCCCTCAGCCTGTACTAAGGTGAAAGTCTTGACTTGATGTAATTAAGAAGTAACATACTAAAAAATCTATTACTGGTTTATTTATATACAGCCTGTCGATGCAGGTTGAATGATAAAGTAGCTAAATCATGATCCTTTGTAATGAAATGGTGAGACTTTCTCTGGTCTTCCCTATCTAATTATGTTTCTGTACCTGATAAGATCAAAGTGGTCTCCTCTACTGTTGAGGTGTCGCAACTGAAGACAAAGGTGAGTTTTAAGTGCAAACAAATATTTACTGAGTTCCACAAATATGAGAGTCTCTGTGTTCTTTTAAGTGGTGTCTACTTTTCTTGAACATGCCGCCTTTCACCTCCTTCTGCCCAACACCACTCAAGCACAGCCCTCTGTTGGAAGCCTTCTCCAGACTTCTTTCTCTCTTCTCCCTCAGGGCCACTGAGAGTGACCTTAGATGTCATAGACACATCTAGGTCATATTTGGGGGGATTCCATTTAGATTGAAAAATGAACTGCCAAACCGAATTGCAAAATCCTCCACAAGATAGAATAAAAGATTATTTTAAAAATATATACTATGATTCACCATGGGCAGTTGTTGAACTTCCTTCAAATCTGTCCATGTATCTTTATTTCCATGTGTATCATCCCATCTGGGCACACTGAGGCCTTTCCTGAATACCAGGCTTGGGCCGAAGGACACTCATGGACTCTTGTGTGATTGTCCTGCACAACTAATGCCAATAATGTCCCTTCATATCTGCCTCTGCCAAGAACTTGGAGACCTTGAGGATCTGAACCCTATGAACTATGTCTTATTTACTCTCCATATTTCCTGGAAATCACGAGGCATGAAATAAATGCTTGATGGCAGACAGTGGCAAGCCAGAAGCAAAACCTGAACTAGAGACTTTAGACAAAAGCAAAAACCTAAAATCAGCATAGTAACTATCTGCACCTCCATAGAAAAATAGAAATTAATAAGAAACAGTGAACAGGACTTCCACAGGCTAGTCAAACAGAAGCTACAGGACGCTGGATAGAAAGTCAACTTCTCAAGTGATGCCTTCCACACCAACTGTAGAAGACTCAAGTAACAAAGCATCTGCCTTTAACATCAAATGTTTTCGTGGGTAGTTAGGATGATTATCCCCTTTACTTGCTGGGTCAAGAAAAGAAAAGTACTGCAAGCCATCACATTCAGTCCTCACAATAATCCTACAATTGCTATAATTAATTCTATTTTGTCAGTAAGTTAAGTAAAGCACAAACATTTTAAGAAACCTGCCCAAGGTCACCCAGTTAAAATTCAAAGAAGCCCATCTCATTCTAAAGGTCCCGCTTGCTGGCACTTCATTCATGAGAATTTCCATTCTGAAATCTGCAACTTAGCATTAAATGGAAACATGCAGTAAGGGATAGTGTATTTGAGCTGAGCTACAGTTTTTCTAAAATAAATACGCCCTGTGGTTTCTCCCATGGGCAAGGACTCCTTAGTCAACTCCAACAGCTGTGGTTGCTATTAGAAGCTGACTCCTTTGTAATTTCTGGGGTAGAACCATCTTCCCAGGGAGAAGATCTTCTGAAACCTGAGAGAAAATATGAACCTCTCTTCAGAGCATGCACTCATATGTTTGAAATCTATCCCACTGTTCAAAAGAACTCAAGGAGAAGACTGTCTGCTTGGGGAGGGAGCCTGGTTACCCTCCTTTCCCTCCTCCTGAGACACCTTTTCCCTTTTACCACATGGAACCCCCCCAGAGCTACAGTGCTTTTAATTCCTTTCTAAAACATCAACTCAAACTTGGATATTTGCCTTCCATGATCCCTTTAGCATAGTTGATTGAGACCGGGTACATTTTCTAAAATCTTTCCCAAGTACTAAATAAAAACCAAAATGTAAGTAATTATAGAAACCAAACCAAAGCATTATTTTGTGGTTCCATAGAGTTCTTACAAGCTCAGAGACACCCTGTCGCAGGATCCCACAGAGTCATCATGACCCTAAAGAGACTAGCTTGGAGCCATCTGCGCTCTGCTTCCCCACGCCCTTAGCGTTGGGCAACTGTGTGCTTATCGAACACAGTTTATAAGAAAGTTAGAAATGAAACGCTTATATTAACTCACTCTGGGTGTGGTACAAAGCCTCTCAATGTCTCCAGAGTTGGGATGGAGGGGAGACCTTTTTTTTCTTTACCAGAAAAAGAATCCAATTGGTGCTGAGACCCAGGTGCCTAGAACCTTAGTCCAGGAGGTTCTAATCCAGCAATCGTGAAGTAAAAGAATATTTATATTTCAGAAAATATTCCCAGAGGAATTCTAAGGGCCCCCTTGATTTGAAACTAGTGATATTGCAGACATCATATCATAAATAGGAGACTTGGAAAGTTAAATCGGCCCAAAGCCATCCACGTAGTTCTCCTAGCTAATTCAGTTACTCTATCTTTACCGCTTACTCTGAAATGGAATCTTATAAACATGTAATTGAACAAAGCATGGAACAATTTTTTTTTCAAAAAGGAAGCATATTATAAAAGTAAAAACATGAAGGATAAGTCATTTTTCACATTATGGCAAGAAATGCATCAAGCTCTAGTTTTCACAAATATGACAGAAGTACATTGAAAAACAAAATACTTAGTTTCTAAAATGTGTAGTTAGGCTCTCAAGAATATAATATGAATCTCTAGTGTTTTAGAAACAAACAAGAATCAAGAAACTCATAGTAATCAATCATATCTAAAGCCTCAGTTTCCAAAGTTATTTCCCAGCCCCACCGACTGGGGGTTTTAAGTTCAAACAACAGAGGAAATGTTGGGTCTTCAAGAAGGTGGGTCCTGTACAAATAAGTTATATAAACAAGCCATAAATGCTCAAATTGATAGAATTACAAGGAAAAGGGAACAAAGCCACAAGCATATTATGGATTGTAACACATTTCTCTCTAATTAATAAGCAAATAAAATATAGTGAAAATATAGATGATTAGTAAGATTGATCTAATGTGCATTATATATAATCCTCAAAATATATTAAACATTATGAAAATAAGCCATGTAAAAGTCTCACATTGTAAAGGCTCTGTATCACACAGGTTACATTCTCTAGAAAAGAAAAAAAATAAAGATACCTATCCCTAAAAACAAAAAAAACTGTGCACTTGAAAATATTAAACTCATTTCTCTATAGCTCATGACTCAAAGAATAAATCATACAGAAAATTTTCAAAAATTAGAACTGTTTGATCTTAAAACACGACATTAAATATGTGGAATGTGGCTAAAGTTACTTTGAGATCCTTAAATGTTTATTAGAATATGGATGAGTAAGTATGATATAAGACAATTATATAGAGACCAAGTTTAGGTGCAGAAATTATTTTATTTTTGGTTGAAAAATCAGGGAAGATTTAATAGAAAAGGCGATAATTTGTGGGGTCCCGGAAAAGCATTTCAAGGAGAGGGAACAGCCTGTACGAAGCCAGGAGACAAGTGAGCAAGAACACAGCCAGGGAAGAGTGAGTGTGCACGTGAGTCAATCAGCCCAACTCTGAGATTGCACCTGCTTGTCTTTACAGAATCACTCTGCCTCCATGACCGAAGTCACCTGAGACAGCTGATGTGTCACAAGTTTTTTTTTTTTTTTTAATCACCCTCCAATTCGATACTTCAAGACACACAGTTACTTGATGTCAAACTGTGAAGACAAGTATTATGTTTATCTAGTTAGAGGCTAATGTTTTGTACATTTTTTTGTATGAGGAAGTGATGTAGCTTGCCCTGATTTTTTTTGTCAGCTTTAATATATTTATGCCGGAATTTTACACCAACAAAATTTTCTTCTTGTTCCAGTGTGCACTGAAGAACCACATTGATTCAATGATTGATGTTTTGTGATATTTGTACACAGACCTTCTTTTCTCAGTTTTATAGGCACAGAAATATAATTAATATAACAATTCACCTTACCCCTTTATTACTACACTTGCTGCCTCCACCAGAACTTTTACATTTTAATGAAAGTTAACTTTTGAGTTGCAGAGAGGGCAAAGTTGGTTAATGGTAAATCTCAAAATCAATTGGACAGAAAGAAATGTTCCTTTCGCCAAGAACTTTGTGTTCTTGTCTCTTACCTGTTTTGTATTCTAAGTTAAATCTCTATATTAGTGAAGTCACTTGCTTAACATAAACAAGTGGCTGAGACTCCTGGATTTGAGGGGTATTGGGGTTACATGGTTCTCTTTGATAAAGCCTTCTCCCATCTAAGAAACTCAAGATCTTTCTAGAATCACGTCCTTGGGCTGGCAGGTGACACTGCAGACTTCTTTCCAAAAAGCCACTAGTCCCAGTCTCCCCTGTCAACTCAACAGTTTTGTAAATCATATTGTATGGACTTTCTATGAAAATGAATATTTTACAGTTTGCACAGTATTATTTTACAGAAAGGGTATTGGAGTATCTACAACCTAGAACCGCAGAGCAACAGCTTGGCTCTGTGGCTTTTAATTGTTCTAGAATTTTAACTGCATCTCATTTTTCTAGCATGGTAATAACTAACGTGTAACTCCTTTCAGAGAAGGAGCTCCCTTGTCTGTACCTATCAGAATGTTTTCTTGACATTTCCATATTGGCTCTTCTTAGCTTTTTTTTGTACATATTTTTTTTTTCTAAAGAGAAGAAAAAAAGTTATCACAAAATGTACTCTGGCTTGTGTCGTTTCTTTCAAGCTTCATCCCCTGGGCAAAGATCTTTGAAGCGTCATGATGAAGTGAACACAATAAATGTTTCTACTTTTTAGTTCCATGCCTGCTGAGATCGGTGCTAACAGAGGCATGGCTGGTAGGTGCTTTCACGGGGGTGTATATGAGTGAGTGTGAGTGGAAGTGAGTGAGGCTGGGGTGTGGAGGCAAAATTGTAAAGTTTTTGAAATTATTGAGACACTTGGAAACACATTCCGGATGCCTAGCAAGCTACCTGGGTTTTCAGCCTGCCCATATTGAGTTGTCAATCAAGAGTTAGTCGTTTTTTAGAAACTAAAGTTACCTCTGCTGAAACTTGGCCAGATCTCTCATCTCATTGTGGCCTAAAGTTATTTACATTTTCATGTAAATGCCCTCACAGGCACCTGAGTTCCCGTCTGGCTGAAGTTGGGTAAGCAGGCAAGGAAGAAGAGTTTTGGAAGCTTTATTCATCCCAGATGCCATACCATGAGCTTTCACACACATAATCTGGTTGTTCTCCAAATGGCCCAGCGAAGCCGTGATTGTCCCAAAGAAGCGCTATACGTGTCAACCCCAGTATTAGAACCCAGGTCTTCCTGACTCCACTAAATTGAGATGCCTTTGAACCAAGTCCACATCTTTCCAAAGGTTTTTCAATGTGAGGTACCTGCTTAGATGGTTCAAGGGATGATGTACATAGGAAAAGCACATCGTGGAGGAAGATGCTTTCTGCTTCTGAGAAGGAATAATTTGCAAGTGCTGGGCTCTCCACTTCGTATAAGCTACCTAAGCGTCCGTCACATTGCCCGATTACTGAGTGATTCGTTTTCTAAACATATTGTAGGATTTTTTTAAATAACAGCAATGAGGGCTTGATTTTATTTCCTTGTTCATGGTAAGACATTCTGAAAAGCTCTGGCAGGCTATGTTGTTTTTACATTACCCATTTTTCGTCAAAATAAAAGCCATTTAAATGTGTGACTACCACATGGTATTTCCAAGAACATAAGTCCAGTTGACCAAGAGAGTGTTATCCTTCTACTTTCCTTTCCGGTTTCCATCTGGAAGGATCTCTCAGAAGTATTACAAGACCTCTGGCCACAGATACCAATTTCATGGTCTTGGACTTGGAGGGTACTGGTACATGACTGAACCAAGCTCCAGAGGACACCACATTGCAACACTTGGAAATAAGGGACACCTCTGGACTCAGAGCCAGTCTGATTCCTTCCATGATCCCATGGCAACTTTAGTGTTGCCCCTAATTAGCCCCAAGTCACTTTATAGGGATCACGTTAATCTTTCAAGTCTACCATTTGAGATTCATTTCTTGGGGCTAGGGATCCCTCCCCATGGGCCTTCTACCAAAGACGAAGCCCTCTGACAAGTGGTCACTATATCCTCTGAATGAATTCCATAATGGGCTTTTCCTCTTTTTAAGGAAAGCCCACAGGAGCCTGAGAAGCCTGACTCCCTGTGAGAGGGAAGAGGGAAGGAACAAATGAAAGACTAAGGAAGTGTGTTGACCTGAGCGACTTCACAGAGCAAATAATTATTTCTTAAAGAGATGGATTCCAAACTTCCTCCAAATGTGGCTAAAGGAGACAATGACTCATTTGGAAATAAGGAGAATTTGAATGGAGCCTGAAGGTAGTTGAATGATAAATAGATTTAGATACAGGACTGATAAGGATTAGGGAGCTGCACTCAGCACTCATGAGTGTGTGGGTGCCTCTCTTGGCAAATTCTGAAGATCTCCCTCCTAAACTGTGATAGAAGGGCCGTATGTTGAACTTCTGAATCAGAGAATGCAAATAGGCATGATCCCACACTCAGAAGAAGAGGGAGTGGGTATCAATGGAATGATTTAAAGAGCGGAAGAGCCAGGAGTAGCTTTTTTGTTTCAAAAAATTGGCTCGATTTCCCTACTTTCTGCAACTACACTCTCAGTGGTGCTAAATATCTTGGAGGCAAACACAAGAAATACCAGATTGCCCTACTTTGTTTTAAGGAGTAGGGTTGCATTAAAGCTGTTGTACTATTCCCACCCTGCCGAATGGAAGCTGTGTACTAGAACTAGTCTGTCACTAACCGTTATCCCCGGTACTACTACGAGAGTTTTTAGGTGAGCACCAAGCCTCTTGCTTACATCCTAGTTCTTGATCCAGATGTCCCGGGATCCATTGATATGTTCATGGATAGCCCACGATCAGTTGACCCACTGATACTCTACTCTCCAGCCCACTGACCCTTGTGGAGCCCAGTTAACTGCACATATATTTCTAAAATTAGAAATTAGGGGCACCTGGGTGGCTCAGTCGGTTAAGCGTCCGACTTCAGTTCAGGTCATGATCTCACGGTACGTGGGTTCGAGCCCCACGTCGGGCTCTGTGCTGACAGCTAGCTCAGAGTCTGGAGCCTATTTCAGATTCTGTGTCTCCCTCTCTCTCTGACCCTCCCCTGCTCACGCTGTCTCTCTCTCTCAGAAATAAAACATTAAATTTTTTTAAAATAAAAAATAAAAAAATAAAATTAGAAATTACTCTGCCTGGGAAAGCAGCATTTATACCACTCAAAGATGGTGCCTGTGTCCTCAGCCTTCCTTGTTCATTTTGGTATGCTGTGTGTGTCAGGGTCTATAAAAGATTACAAGCTATGACCTTCCCGTGACACCAAATAAACCTATGACCAGAGTTAAGAGTAGGGTGAGCATGAAGCTCTTTTCCTTAAAGACGGTCTCTTTAAAAAGGTACTTACTTTGCCCTATTAACTTTATATATTTTTTTAATTTAAATCCAAGTTAGTTAACATATAGTGCAATAATGGTTTCAGGAGTAGAACCCATTACTTACATACATTACATACATACTTACATACATTACATACATACAACATACTTACATACATACTTACATTACTTACATACAACACCATGCTCATCCCAACAAGTGCCCTCCGTAATGCCCATCACCCATCTAGCCTATCCCCACCCCCCCATCAACCCTCAATGTGTTTTTTGTATTTAAGTGCCTCTTATGGTTTCTCTCCCTGTCTGTTTTTATCTTATTTTTCCTTCCTTTACCCTATGTTCATCTGTTTTGCTTCTTAAATTGCACACATGAATGAAATCATATGACGTTTATATTTCTCTGACTTATTTCACTTTGGATAATACACTCTAGTTCCATCCACATTGCTGCAAATGGCAAGATTTCATTCTTTTTGATTGCCGAGCAGTATTCCACTGTGTGTGTGTGTGTGTGTTCTTTATCAATGTTCTATTAACTTTAAAGGAACTTCCATTTATCAATTTATCTGAAATATTTTGGAACTGAGAACAACTCTTCTCTTGATATAATTGTGGTTAATGTTGTCACGTAGTCATTTCTGCCTTGAATCCTTCTGTGAAGCACTTTTTCCTCAGTTTCAAGGGATGCCCCACAGTATTTCAGAATTGAGTAATCCCAGGCTCACTAGTACCATAGACTCATCATGCATAATAGATAGTGTACAAAGCATTTACGTCCCCTTCTTGTGCTCCCTCTTTGTAGCGAACAGAGTCTCTGCCTTTGTAGGGACCACACAGTTAAGTATTTCCTCATTTGACATGTGTTCTATCCTGTTCTTTAGCAGCCACAGGGGTGAGTTAAAGACAGGCAGGTGCACCTCCACTCCAGCTGCCTGTTGTCTGGGTAGACTCTCTCTAGTTCTGGGTCTGGGTTAATTAACTAAATAGTCACCAGTTGTGAATTAACTCACCCTTAGAGGGATTATCAGTTGTTTGAACACCTTAAAATAGACACTTAAAGATTTGGTAAAAGTAATCTTACCAAGATCCACTGGGTATGTAGTAATCTACCACTGCCTGTTGAAATCACTGATTTTGGTGAACTCATACCAGCTTTATCACCATGAGTTTCACCTC